GCATCTCGTAGCTTGAGGTCTAGCAACTTATGGATGACTGAATGGAAGGCTTTGCAGAAGTCCAGGTAGCAGACGTTTACCTGCTGACCTTCGTCCAGCCTTTTAGTAACCTGATCCAAAATAGTTGGCAGATCAGTCACGTGCATTTGGGAAACTCCAACTTTTTGTAATGCCTGTTTCAAATCGAGCGCAGGAATATTGCTTCGAGCTAATGCAATCCGTAATTCTGTTATGTTACTGAAAATAAATAACACCAAATCGTCAGTGATTTTTAAACAAAAAAGCAAATTAACTGAGCAGTGATTTGATTGTTTACATTGAAATAAGTTGACCCTGAATTGAATTTCATTGATTTTTATCTCCTTGCAGTAAGTGGCACAACCAGTACGTTTCGGGCGTTGGTCGCGTTCAATTTCCTCGGCTTATTTCTCGCCATTGCTGCTTTCATCTTGTTCGTCATCTTATTTTTCACATGCGAGGCCAAATACGGAGTGCTCATGGTTACAATCGTGGTCTTTACCGGTGTATCTCGTAAGTTTTCTTTATATCCCATTGTTAAATAAAGATGACTATCCAGGCCAACGTTGAGTGACACGCAACCTCAGGAGCCAAGTACAAATGTTCTATAGGTTTACTCGGCTCCAACAATAGGGAATAATTATGCGGTACTGTAAATATTAAGTGTTACAATTACATAAGCAAAACACATCAAATCGTGGTGTTCTCAGGGGATATGCCTGAACCGGCGTAATGAATAATGCCAATCCAGAACCTAGATGCAAACGAAGGAGTTCGCTACTCCTGTTATGTTCCGAAAAGGTGGTGCGGGTCGAGGAATGTTCCCTATTGCAGAGTACAGATTGAAGGGCATGCATAACACGAAAAGCTCATCAGAAACATGCTTTCGCAGCACATCGCGACACATGGGCAAATGGGATGGGCAGGCAGTTTTTATGCTTCCCAAATATATTGATTGGTCCTTGATGATCTTGTTCTATTTTTAATCACCGAAAGTTACCGACTACTCACAAGTGAGTAGTATCTCACAACAATCCATCAACAATAAGTGACAGAACGTCAGAGCGCAAATGTGCACATGGGGCAGTGCGACGCATGGGTGAAACAGAAGACCAATCCGAATAAGATTAGGCGAATCCATGCGATAAGCATAGAGCAGGGTGAGTCTAACCATATCAGGGTGGGGGGGCAGTGTAACCCAGTTTGGTGGGTGGGCGAAGAAATGGAACGAACGAAAAATTCATGTTTGATAATCGGAAATACGCACGGGTCAAGACAATGGTATATGAGGGAGAGGTGACTATAGAAGGATTTGTTGGTGAAAAAGTGTAGGGGATAGCAATCAGGTTCAACACCAGTTCACGTGCTTTATATCTAGTTGGCCATTTGTGGGCAGATATTCCAACAGCTTTGCACAACCTCAGTCTCAGTTCTTTTCTTGATCTTCCACAAATTTTATTTTTATTTTTTGAAGTTCGTGGAACCGCGAATCTGACCTTGTTAATGATAGACTCTTGTATACCTGGGTATTGCCCCCCGAAGAACATTAGCGGTTTCGTGATTATCGAGGCTTTTCAGGTTTATCTTTTTGATAATCTGCGATGCAGGCATCCTCATATTTTCTTCAGCTACATTCTTACACATGAATAATGCAGTACGCCATGATGTCTAATTCGTCTCCACTATTCCATTTCATTTTTCCTGTAATTGAACTCATTCCTCCAATAATTAGCGCATCTTTTATTCCGCTATTATCACGATATAGAATCTTCAAAGAAGAACTCGGTCTTTTTTAGTTGTTTGTCCTGACAAACGTTCCATAGACTTAATCAAATTAAATAAATGAGATAAGCTCACAATTCAGAAGCCATCGAGGTCGTTACCGCTCAACAAATACTTGTATCTCGTAAAGTTATATGAATATACTTTAGAGGAGTAGTCCTGTGATTAGATTTTCTCTAGATATATCTGGAATGCTTATCGTGGTACTTTGCAGAAGGTATCCTTCTGAAAAAATCTGTTTAGAACCAAGTCTGTGATCATTTGTGGTCACAATTATCTACCTGATGAAGTCAGATCATTTTGTGTAACTCGGGAAAGTATCATATTTGACCAATTTAGGGACCTGCTCAATCAGACAAAACGTCGCAACACCATCTGGACCGCCAGGCGTTAACCACAAAGCAAGAACTCTGAACTTCCCCAAATTCACTGTTCCCAATTTTTGATAACCATAATTTATATGTTTGTAGGACCTCCTCAGGGAAATCGCCGTCCGCGGCTAGCTCATCAACGTCGTCCAAAACCCCTCAATTACTTTGTCGAAGTCGAGGACTCACGATACCCGTTCGACGGGTTGCGCCATGTCAACTTGAAAAATTGACGGAGACTTCGACTGATATGTTCCCTTAATAATTTCATGTTCATGTACCATGCAAGTAATTCAGATATTCTGGAAATAAACTGGAGAAAAACGAAAAGATACGACATCGTGGCAATGTGAGACATGCGACCAACAGCATGTTTTCTAATCTTTGGTATACCCACGATGTAATCATAACAATTCCGCTACGTTGGAAAAAGGCATCAGATTGGGGTGGCGGTTGGGATATTGCTACAATCGAGAACAGATACAAGTGTTTTTTTGTTTTTAAGTGACTTCAGCATCTAAGATTCATTTCAGTAAACTATACAATTAATACTACACACCTGAAAATGTGAATCAAGAGGATCATAAAAATAACCTTTAGACCAATTTTATCAAAGGGTTCACACTTGGTAACCGTCAGCTCGCTCACAGCAAAGACTTTTGGGAGAAATCGAAGATTGGTGCCCACAAGGTCGAATGTGCCAGGGGACGCGGGGCAAACACAGTACAAATTATTTTGCATTTTTGTTCTGCAACCATTCTGGATCCCAACCAGACAGAAGGCGCTCCACAATCTGAAGGTTTCATGGTACTAGCAATGTTTTAACCGCAACTTAAGAAAAGAGTCATATTACATAAATTACGTTTATAGAGAAGACAGAAACAGTGAATTTCAAAAGCGTTTGACTTTTTGAAGTTACACGGGTAGGCACTACAGGTTGTCCAAGTATTCAGTGGACCAACTAAGATTGTGCTTTATAGACATATTTCCGTGTTGTTGACGGTTCAGTCAAATTAAAGAACGCTTTGATATCTGTGAATTTGTTAGATACAACAACCAGTTGCATATAGATTCGCATATTTCCTTGAGTCCCTCAGTGATTCATGTTACAAATAGTTGTAAACAAGCTGCAAAAAGGAAGCACCTGAAATTGTTGTAGTGGGTTGTTCTGAATTTCATACAAATCCAATTCACTGAAAAAGATGACATTGNTCCTTACCATGCGCTGACAACCAACAGAAGAGGACCTGAAAATCATCGCTCACTTTATTCTTCTTGTTATCCCAAAACCGGTGAACAAGACATTTCTAATGACATACTGCTTTATTGAAAAACATAAAAAAGTCAAAAAGCTCACTTGAATAACCATTTATTAAGGATGTGAATGGGGCAGATGGCAGCAGAATTATGTGTGTTCATGTGGGGTTAGGAAAGAGGCATTCAATTACATATACAGTCACGACACGCATAGAATCGGTCTAAATGATGTGCAAAATATAACCGCAGAACATTTCGTCATGCAATCCGACAACATTTTTCATGGAATAATATTACTGTAACTTGGGGATTTTTTATATAGATTCATTTATTTAAAGAGGCAACGATTAGGAGTGGCACTTTGAGTTCTGAGAGCGATTGCGACCCTATGTGATGCCCATATGATTCATATGCCGTTGTTTCGCCATGCCGTTTTTGCTTTCAGTGATCTGTTTCGCGATATCTACAGGCCTGGCGTTTCATCCCTACAAACCGACCGTGATTGAGTGGTTATTTGCCACTGTATGGACCAGCCTGCTAACGTTCGTGGTCACTCTGATACATCTTTTCGCAGGTGCTTATTAAACCGTGTTTATTTGACAACCAACCTCCCACCAACAACAACAGCAACACCACCACCAACACCCTATCCCGTATACACACACTGATGCCCTCTATTCTGAACATTTTCCATTCACGCAAATGTTTGAAAGAATTAATGTTGAGACAGCTGTTGGAAGTGACATAAATTCTGGAATGTTTTCATATTTACCCGAACTCAGAAATTTTACATGAATAAATAGAGTTATTGCCCTATGTTTATTCAACAAATAGCAGCCCTCACCTGATTGACCGTTCATAATTCATGTTGTATATTGTAAAGACATGCAAAGTAAACTATATTTCAGTCATAGTATGTAAGCAATATTGTGGAGGCAAGGGAAACGTTTCACGCTTAAAGCAGCACGTGGATTTGATGATGAAGCTTTTTTCCCCGGGGTCCGGTTTGTGGACTGTTGGTTTATCATTTTTCTCATCAAAAGCTTTCAAAACCGAATATGTGTCCCGTTGAATCTCTTCAGTACGGGGCACCTTCAAAAATTACACGTAACTCACAAATAAAGGCAAAATTGTTACCGACAAAAAAGAACAGTTATAGTCTTCGTTTCCGTTTACCTCTAAATCGATCAATTAATCGATAGAGCATTGAATAGACAAAGTAAGACCAGTGTTAGTTCCGTGTTTGTTAAACAGTACAGGTTCATTTATAGGAAGTGAAACGCAACTAAGGGATTTGAAAGGATTTTGAAAAGTTTTCATGTCCATGAAACCTCAATTGTACGTTATGCGGAAAACACCTAAAACCAATAAGTGCTTATGCTCGGCAAATGAACTTCTATTCTGTTGCGTTACACGTTACTCTACTTACCATAGTAATTATTTTAAAAACAAACACCGGTTTGACCTGCAGAATATATGTTTTTGAGGCCATGCAGATAGCAAGCTATGACCAAGTGAACGACTACCTAAAGGAAGACAGGCATTAGACAGGTGACATTACTGATATACTCAAAAAGTATGTTTGCGCAGTCTAGTTGAATTAAATTTAAAAATGACGCAAAAGATGGCCTTGACAGAAAAAAACGACAAAAGATTAGCCCGAACCCATCTGGTGTTTTATATGCGAAATCAGAAACCGTTCCAATGGTTATCATTTTGATTGATAAAACACTTGATCATCTAGCCGCCATAGTTTCCAAACGTTTGATACGTGCGTTGCCAAAACCGTTTTTTAAACTGAAAACATTTATGCATGACATTGTTTTATCTAAGGCAGTGGCATTTGTGCATGACGCTTTAAACCGACGTCCATTCTTTCGAGTAAGGGTGCTCAAAGCTGGAAAAAGTTGCACTTTATTGCGTGAAATACTGCGAGTCTACGAGTCGTCTGAGCGTTTGATACGTTTCAATCCAGTTAAATGCAAAGGTTGCACCAGTAATAATGAATAATATCGATTTCATTGTTGAATTACTTTTATCGATTTGACCTTTTGTTAATAATTATCTGATATTTTATGATATTCAACAAATTTAACTCATCTTAGACTAAAGTTGTTCTCAATCGATCAATAGTGTTTGAAATGAGGTCCACAGAAATGCCCCGCTAAATGCTGTACAGCGTTTGTCAGGATGTGTTAATCTAGGTATTCACATAGTGATAATAAGATGATAAATTTATGGCCGAGAGATTATCTCAGCAGTTTCATGGTTGAGGATTCCTTATGTGTGGATCCATTTGGGTCCGAACTAAGTTTCAATAGAGTTCACATGCTATTTCAGGATTGCATATCCACAAAGGTCAGTGTTGTATTACCAAACGTTTTTGTTGATTACTTCATTGTCTGAGTTTACAGATAAGACAGATAATCATACGAGGGAATATATCTTGTGAAATTCAGTAGAATAAACTTTATCTATTGTTTCAATTGTGACCTGTTAACTGAGTGCTCAGGCTAACAGTATCAGTGTGAAACAAAAAACCCTTCTCAAAGAACACGCCAAGATGCCTAGCAAACAGAATGGAAATTTACTGCAGATTTACAGTTTGCAGTTGTAGATCATTTGATATTTTGATGAACTAACATAATAGTATTACTAATAGTAATAGATTATATATTATAAATCTCAGTAGTAGTTCGTGCTAATTGTCCGATGATTGCTTCTCGTAAACACTTATACCAGCTAACATATTACACTGGAGTCCATGAAGGTATCTTTGAAAAGTAGTGCTACAAGTATCGAAAAATATGGGAGCCGTTCTTCATAGACTATTATCTCATGCTATAAAAGCCATTCTGCAGAATCGAATAAGCTCACGAAAGGCACTCAAGCACAATGGATTATATACCTTCAGAGCAACTGATCAACACCCAAGAAACGTTGCTAAACTCTAAGTTGCATCATATTGTATTTGCGATTGTCTAGTTTACAGATTTTATTTGATTGGCTTTTGTGAATATCCGACGTGCTTTGGAAAGTGAGAAGAATGACTGAAGAGTTGAGGAAAACATTTTTCCAAATCAGTGTATGAGAATTTGGGGTAGGCTTGCTTCGCTGTACACCGATGAAGACTATTCTTTTTGAGCTCTTAAGTAAAACTCCTAACCAACAAAGTACTAGCAGGTACATTCAACATAGGAGAGTGATCGATACTCCCATTTGATAGCTTTTATCAAGCAGAGCTTTAGGATTTCGGTTCAGTGTGTGTAATGATTGTTGGTTCGCCGCTTGGGATCAACTCGTAGCTTCATTGAATAAGATGGACAGAAATTATATGGAACAGAACACTAGTGACCGCGAGCTGTCCGGCTTGGGCGTGTAGTAGCTGTCCAATGTAGTGTAATGACTTCTCTCTCCGTAAAGCAAAAGCCCCATATATTAGACACCATGTCTTTCCGGTAAAAGGCCCTTTCTCACAGTTGGTACATACAGTGATCTCTCCAGAGGTAATCCATTAAAGAGATCTAGACCTCTTTCTGCGGCTCCGTAAAGACAACATTAATTGCCAGTGTCTGGTAAATTTCTTTCTTCACTCGGTTAACGGAGGTCAAGGAGTCTCACAAAATAACGTCGTTTTTACCATACACTTGAACTTTCCAGCACCATTTCTCATCACTTTATCGACAGAGCTCATCAAAATTCCATAACTAAAAGGATGGCCTAATCCAGTTGCATGTGATCATTGTAGTCCTGGATACCGTTAATTCCGAACTTGTAAGTTACTTGACAAAAGACTCGTGCTCTGAATACAGGTAGTGTTCACTTCACCCAACTAGTTTAACACAGTTTCGATATATCACTTTTGTCATTGCACATTTCTGGTAGCAATATCTCTCTTTTGGATACAGACTTACCAGTTAGTTAGGGGATGTTTCAAAATAATATCACGACATCTTATTTAACAATGCCTGTCAGA